ACCGGGGGGAAATCCCGGGAACTGGGGCCGGGAATCGGGGCCGGGAATTGGGACCGAGGGGGAAATCCCGAGAATTGGGGCTGGGAATTGGGAATTTAACCGGGAATTGGGGCCGGGGGAGAGCCCGGGCATCGGGGCCGGGGGGGAAATCCCGGGAATTGGGGCCGGGAATCGGGGCCGGGAATTGGGACCGAGGGGGAAATCCCGAGAATTGGGGCCGGGAATTGAGAACTGGGGCCGGGAATTGGAACTGGGGGAGAAATCCCGGGAATTGGGGCCGGGAATTGGAACTGGGGGGGAAATCCCGGGAATTGGGGCCGGGGGAGAGCCGGGAATTGGGAAGTGAACGTTCCCCTCCCCGCAGCGGGACAGGGAGGAGCGGGGACCCCGAGCAGTCAATGCCCGGCTCGCACTGGCAGCAGCCACTCACTCATTAAATTCAGTTTTACTTAAAATCTGCTCTGCTTTAATCCAGTTTTAATTTAAACCCAGCTTTGCTTTAAACCTGGTTTTGCTGTAAGACCAGTTCTGCTTTAAAACTAGTCCTATATTAAACCTTGCTTTAATAGTTTCATTTAAAGCTTTGTTTTGCTTGAAACCAAACTCTGCATTAATCCCAACTTTGTTTTAAACCCGTTTTTGCCTTAAACCCAGCTTTGCTTTAAACCCAGCTTTGCATTAAACCCGATTTTATTTCCAGCACAATTTTGCTTTAAGCCTAGTTTTAATTTAGTCCAGCTTTATGTTAAACCCAGCTTTTGTTTAAACTTGGTTTTGCTTTAAACCCAACTTCACTTTAAGTCCAGCTTTTCATTAAACACAGATTTGAATTAAACCTGATTTTGCCTTAAAAACAGCTTTCCTTCAAACACAGCTTGCTTTAAACAGAGTTTTGCATTAAATCCAGAGTTGCTTTAATCCCAGCTCTATTTGAAACATGGTTTTGCTTTAAACCCAACTTTGAATTAAACAAAGTTTTTCTTTAAACAGTTTTGCTTTAAATCTAGTTTTGTTTTAACCCAGCCCTTTGTTAAACCCAGCGTTGCTGTGAAGCTCTCCTAGCTCTGGGCCTTTCCCAAAGGCAGCCACGACTTTCCCATGGAGCAGCTGCTGCTCCTGGGCGGCTTCAGAGCGAAAACTGTGTCTGATTTCCCCAAAAGAGACTGGGATTTAATAGAAAAATAGGAAAAGGTGCTGCAGGGTGGAACGGGAGCTGCTCCGAGCCTTAGGGAGGGTTTCTTGGCAAGAGTCTGGCATTAGCAGTGGGAAACATGAACCAGTTCTGTGCCCCAGCACCCAAAAAATGGAATCCTGCGACCCACAGTAGCTGAGAAATGGAATCCTGGGAGTCACCAAAGGTTTAAAGTGAGTTTGATCTGAGGGAAAGGTTTGATTTCCATCAAACCATGTGTGGTCATGGAAGTGGAGCTCCTTGTGCTCTCTCCTGGGGCAGGGATGCTCCGTGTGGATGCCCCTCAGTGCTCCCTCCTCGGGATCGTGGGAAGGAACTGGCGCTTGCCAACACAGAAACCCGCGGGGTTTTTGGCAGTGCCAGGCTGGGATCCAGCCCGGAAGAGGGGGGCTGGCAGCAGGAGTGAATCATTCCCAGCAAACTGCATCCCAATGGATTTCCATGTGTTTTTAAAGCAGGGTTGTGGAAAAACCCTCATCTTCCTCATTCCTGTGCTCCGGCCCAGTGGCTCCAGAGCTGTTCCCAAGGGAAACTCTGCCCTGCACCGCTGCTCCCATCCTGAAAACTCCTCCAAGGAGCACTGGGGATGCAGCCCCTCCATCCTGATCCCCATCCTCATTCCCGGTGCCTGGAGGACTGGAGGAGAATCCCCACAGGGATTTTTTAGGGGTGCTTAGCGGTGCCTTCACAGCCCCCCCATTCCCATCCCACTTCCATTCCCATTCCCAGCGGATGGAGGATGGGATCATCCCCACAGGCTTCTTTTGGGGGTGCTCAGCAGCCCCTTCCCAGCCCCCCCTCCCCTCCCCAGCGGGTGGAGGGCAGGATTTGCTGCTCACCCTCGTTTCTTCTCAGTCACCTTGGGATGATCCCCTGGGATCAGCACTTTGCTCCCCCTGTTTCCCCCTCAGCTTTCCTGCCGGATTTCCTGGTTTCAGCCTCTCCCTGAGGCAGGATCCGGCCTTTTCCCTCCCCTTCCACCCCAAATCCAGCTGGAAAATGCCCGGCCGAGCCCCGACATTCCGGCTTCACCCCAGACCAGTTGCGCACCCCGTCCCTCATTGCAGGGCTCTGGTGCCTCCGTATCCAAATCCCTGTGTCTGGTGTAGGAATTCCCTGAAACCCCCCAGGGAATGGGAATTTCGGGGGGCATCGCGGGATCCAGGTCACACTCCTGCAGCTCTTACCTGCCGGCACCATGTGCGGCTCCAGGTGAAGGCGCTGCCCAGGTGAAGGCGTTGCCCTTTTCATTCCTCACTTTTCCAGTTCGGCCGGAATGAGGATCAACCCCCAGGATTCCTCCCCCGTTAACCCCTCGCTGGCTACGGGGCCAATCCATCACCCCGGAGATTGGGAATCGGGCTTTGTGTGGGAATGGGGGAATTCTGGGTCACGGGAGGGGGAAATTGGGGTAGCTTGTTTTATTTTTGGCATGACAGTGCATTTTCCGGGAGCTGGTGGAACAGGCTCGATGCCTTTTCCCTGAGTCACGGATGTTGGAGCGGGGGGGGGCGGAGAGTGACAATCCCTAACTCCCCCCACCCCCCAACTCCTCAGCCACCCCAAATCCGCCGGTGGGCTTCCCCCCGGACCCCATCCGCAATCCCAGATGGAGATTTGGGGTTTTGCCACCTTTTCCATCTTTATTTCGTACGGGATGGGGGCTGGGAAATGCATTCTGGGGAATGAATTTGGGAAAGACGCCGTATTTCCTGTGGGATCACAGGGCGCTGAGGGACTCGGGGGGATCCTGGGGGGACTCTGCAGCATCTGAGGGGTCCTGGCTCGTGTCCTGCTCCGGTGTCCCGGAACAGCCCTGGGAGAGGCGTGGGGGTGACACCGGCACCTCGTGATCCCGTTCAATCCCATCCAAAAGGGACCGAGCCCCGCCCTTTGCACCCGCCTGGGTTGGGGATCCAGAGGGGTCCGGCGTTCCCGGGCCCGACACCGCGGGGAGGGGCAGGTCCAGCGCCACCTGCAGCAGGGGGTGTCCCACGGGCTGGGTTTGTCCCCCGCCTCGGTCTCGTGTCCCCACATCCCTCCCGGGTGCCTCCCCCATTCAGGGATCCCCCTGTGCGTGTTCCCCT